AGGGAGGGAGGGAGGAAGATGGAGGAGGAAGGAAGGGAGACAGGGCATGGGAGGGAGAGAGACAGTGAGAAAGGAGGGAGAGTGGGTGGGGAGGGAGACGGGGAGGGAAGGAAAGAGGGTAGCAGGAAGGCAGGGAGGGAGGGAGACAGGGAAGGGAGGGAGGAATACCCCCCAGACTCCGCAGGGCAGCTGTCTACTGGGTGAGCTGAGGCCATGAGGTCTTCCCCTAAGAAAGGCCACCAAGAATCAGTGGGGCAGTGAAGCTGATGGAAGGTCGGTTGACAGCAGCTTGACAGATCCTGAGTCCCACAGCCTGCTCCCTCTGACTCTGTGCCAGGGCCAGCTCCACACACTCCCAGTCCCAGGACTCAGTCTTTCCCTAACTGGAGGGTGTATGAGTCACCTTGGGCTGCTGTAACAAAGTATCACAGATCAGGTGGCTTAATCTGCAGTTTAGTTTCCTCACTGTTCTATTTCCTCATTGTTCTACGGACAAGAAGTCTGAGATCAAGTTTCCTTTTCAGGGTTGTAAGGGAGATCTGCTCCATTCCCCCCCAGCTCCCCCCCCCCCCCACCTTTGGGTCCACTTGGCATTCCCCTGTGAGCATGTCTAGTTCTTCAAAAAAATTACCAACAGTAGTCTTGTTTGATTTGGGCCTGCCTCATCTTAATTACACCTGCAGCAACTCTATTTCCAGCAAAAGGCACATTTCTAGGTACTGGGGGTTAGGACTTCAACATATACATCTCAACCCATAACCGTGGGACTTTTCCAAAGTGCTTCCAACCCTCACTGATGGGCCCACTTACTCCCTTGGGAACGCTGAACAGCCTGCCCTCTGCTCCCACCACCCATCTGTCCCATTAGGTCTGCTGGGTTTGTGGGGTAGAGGGTGGGACCCAAAACCCTCAGTGCACTGTTCTCTCAGGGTGATACACCGGGTCTGCCCACTGCCCCCGTGCTGGCTCAGCCCCTTCACCCCTTGTGAGGCCCATGTGGCCGTCCTGCCTGCTGACCTTGGCACACACTCTGCTCACTGCCCAGGTCCAGCTGAGAAATCTGATGGGGGGGTGGCGATGGTGGCATGTCGCATGTCCCATGCGGGGCTCTGCATGGATTCCCTCACCTAATCATCTAGCATGTACACCAAGAGATGCTCTTACAGTCCCACTCTATAGGGGCCGATGGAAGGTGGGGCCCCCCAGATTCATACCCGGCCAGTGTGCCTACTGTTCCCTGGGACTGTACCACCCCTTCTCCCCATGCTCACAGCACTCTGAGTATGAGGTACACGTACCCAGCCAGAGGCTGTGTCTGGGACACAGGGGTAATACTGACACTAGGCACCGTCACTTCATGCAGAGTGGACAGACCTCATCAGGCCTCCCATGCTGACTCATCTTCTCCTCTCTGGGACTGCCCCTGGCCTCATGCTCAGGCAGACCCTCTCCAGGCCCTCTCAGCCTACCCTGTAGCCTCTGACTCTCTCTGTGCCCTCTGGGCCTGTGTTCTCAACTATACCTGCCTGCCATCACCCTTCTCCATGGCCTGTGTCCCTAGACAGGTCTGCAGCGCCCATCAGGAACTGTCCAGTGTCCCGTGCCATTGTGCCCTGCATAGAAAGGGGCTACTGCCAGACTAATTCATACCTGTAGAATACTTCAGTCCAGGACTGAAAAGGCAGGCAGGAGCTGCCTCCCAGGAGGACCTTGGGTACCTTATCAGGAAGCCTGGTTTTAAGTGTGGAAGCCAGGCCCTGCGAGAGGAGGGGGAGTTGGCAGGTGTACTCTGGCCACCCAGACTGAGAAGGCTGGCTTCTTTTGCATGGCAGGGTCTGTGGCATTGTCATCCCTTGGAATTATCCACTAATGATGCTATCCTGGAAGACTGCTGCCTGCCTGGCTGCTGGGAACACAGTGGTGATCAAACCTGCCCAGGTGTGTGTGGGCTCACTCTGGACAGGGCCTGTGGGTGTGGAGAGCATGGGGAACTCACCCTGTATGGGAGGATGCTGAAGGCCCCTCTTGGCCACGCTGGCTCCAGAAGAAGGGTGATGCCAACTGCTTTCCCAGGGCTCCACTCACAGTGGGTAGAGATCTGCCTGGGGCTCAGAGCTGCCCAAAGCGGACTCTGTTCTTTCAACTGTGGAGTAGTTGAGACCTGCTGGCTGTGCTGGTGCTCACAGCTTCCCAGTGAGGATAGCCAGGGGTCTCTGCACCAATGCTAGCACTCTGGATTCATGGAACAGATACCTTCCTTGGTCCTTTGCCCAGGCCCCACACTCTGAGACAGCCTGAGTAGTCTATCAGTAAAGCTGGTGTCATGTCTCTTATGTGGCTTCATAGACCCAGAGTCCTGGAGTGAAGCAGGATAAATGATGGGATCTGTAACTCCCAGCCCCTCGTAGGGAAGCTACATGGTGCAGTGGAGGGGGGGTATAGGGGCAGGATGTCAAGGGTCACTCAGGCTTTCTGGGAGAGTCTTCCCTGGGACAAGAACACCATCCATGAGCCTCGGTTTCTTTATCTGTTCTTTGGCTTAAGTCTCTCCTCTGCCTGCCCCCCAGGGTACTGTGAGGAACTGGAGGCAAGACTATCCCTAACGTGGCATGGGGTGTGTGCCCAGGGAGGGTTCCTGCTTTCCAGTTTCTTTGGGGCAGTTTGGCCCCAAGGGTATTGGCGTAATTTTTAAAAAAAGATAGCTGACATATTGACATAATAAAAAAATAGTGATAGCCAAGGTTTATAGTATGTCCTCTGAGTCAGGCACCTCTCAAACATTTGAGCGTGTATAACAATGGAGCAATTTACATACATTTGCTTATTTAAGCAGCCCTCTGAGGAGACATAACCTCCTGCTTTAGAAATGATCACTGTCCAGGAGGGGGCCCAGGCCTGGCCAAGGGGCGGAACCCCGCGGGGAAGAGAAGTCAGGTCACCAGAGGTTGGCAGGCCCTACTTCTCAGCTGGAACGGTGGGGAAGCTGGCTGGGCTGGCAGTGACCCCTGCCTGGGATTGGCCACAAGTCATTTTTCCTCTGGCTTTGCCGGGGTCTTCCTGGTGGCGTGATCCCCGACTGCTCCTCCTTGCTTGCTGCTGGGCTGCACAAAGGGAAGACGGGGAGGGAAGGCACAGCCTCACTTCTTTAGCTAGTTTCTTTCTTGACCCCCTCCCCCCAGGTGACCCCACTCACAGCCTTGAAGTTTGCAGAGCTGACACTGAAGGCTGGCATTCCCAAAGGCGTGGTCAACATCCTCCCGGGATCTGGTAAGGCCCATGGATGGGGAGCAGGGCCGGGGTTCATGGAAGCCAGATATACCCTTGGCCTGAGTGGGATCCACCTGGATAAGGTGTCCCTGAGGGACAGAGCAGCCTGGTGAGAGCCTGTGTGGGCATCTGGCCTAAAGGGATGGAGGCCTACTAGCACAGGGGAGAAATCTCCTTCACCTAGAAGGGTTTTAGCCTTGAAATGGAGAAAGGAAATATTAGGTAGTAGCTTGAACCCACAAGACCAAATGAAGAGAACCAGAATTAGCAAACAAGGTTAACTCTATAAATATATACTGTTCTCCTTTGTTTTTTCAAACTTTCTAAAATTTTTTCACTCTATCGCCCAGGCTGGAGTGCGGTGGCATGCTTATAGTCGCCACAGCCTGACCTGCTGGGCTCAGGCAATTCTTTTGCCTCTGCCTTCCAAGTAGCTGGAACCACAGGTGCAAGCCATCATGCCTGGCTAATTTTTAAAAATTTATTGTAGAGATGAAGTCTTGCCAAGTTATCCAGGCTAGTCTCAAACCCCTGGGTTCAGGCTATCTTCACGCCTTCACCTCCCAAAATGCTGGGATTACACACATCAGCCACTGTGCCCAGCTCAACTTCTTTAATAGACATAAAATTCTGTAAAGTAATAGTTCTGGCCAGGCACAGTGGGTCATCCTGTAATCCCAGCACTTTGGGAGTCCAGGTGAGAGGATTGACTGAGCCTGGGGATTCGAGATCAGCCTGGGCAACTTGGTGAAAGCCCGTCTCTACAATAAATCACAAAAACTAGCCGGGCATGGCAGTGTGTGTCTATAGTTCCAGCTACTTGGAAGGCTGAGGCGGAAGGATTGCTTAAGCCCAAGCAGGTTGAGGCTGAGGTGACCATGAGTGTGCCACTGCACTACAGCCTGGGTGACAAGAATGAGGCTCCAACTCATAAAATATATATATATATTTTAATTATATATATATGTATATATAATTACAATTTTTTCTATTTGCTATAGACCCAATAATACAATTACATATATGTTGCTTTTAAATCAGTTAAGAGAAGAAAGGAGATGAAATGTGCATTTATACTGTCTTTTATCATTGCATAATTGCTTTTTCTAAAGCTCTTATTTTTAATGTAGATTCTAATTACTTTCTATGGTTGCTTGCTTTCAACTTAAAGACCCTTTAGTATTTCTTGTATGATGGGTCTCCTAACAACAAATTCTTTCAGTTTTTGTCTGAAAATGTCCTTATTTGTTTCCACTCTTTGAAACATAATTTTGCCAGATATAAGATTTTTAGTTGAGAGTTTTGTTCTTTTAGTACTTTGAATATAGTAATATACCAGAGAGTGACATTTTAGTTAACAACGAACCACATTTAAGAGAGTGGTTTCATAAAATTATAATGGTGCTGAAAAATTCCTACCACCTAGTGACATTATAGTTGTTGCGAGGTCTAGTACAATGCATTGCTCATGTATTTATGGTGATGCTGGTGTAAACAAACCTGGTGTGCTGCTAGTAATAAAAAAGTATGGCACATTCAACTATGTATAGTACATAATACTTGAAAATGATAACACATGCCTCTTACTACTTTACTTATTTATTAAACTATAGTCTTATCATTATTTTAGAGTGTATGCCTTCTACTTATAAAAAGCAGTTAACTATACAACAGCTTCAGGAAGGTCCTTCAGGAGCTATTCCAGAAGAAGACATTGTTGTAGGAAATGACAGCTCCGTGTGTGTCACTGCTTTCCCTTGAAGATGTTCCAGTGGGACAAGATGTGGTGGAAGACAATGACTTTGATCATCCTGACCCTGTGTAGGCCTAGGCTAGAGTGTATGTTTGCATCTTAGTTGTTAGTGAAAAAGTTTAAAAGGTAAAATAAAAATTAAAAGAGTAAAATAAAATAGGAAAAACCAGCAGGGCATGGTGACTCACATCTATATTCCTAGCACTTTGCGAAACTGAGGTAGGAGGACTGCTTGTGGCAGGAGTTTAAGGGTAGCCTGGGCAACCTAGTGAGACCTCATCTCTACAAAAAAATCAAAAATAGCTGGGAGTGGTGGCATGTGCCTGTAGTCCCAGCTACTTACGGGGCTTAAGTGGGAGGACCACTTGAGCCCAGGAGTTTGAGACTACAGTGAGCCATGTTCATGTCACTGTATTCCAGCCTGAGCGACAGAGAGACCTTGTCTTAATAATAATAATAATAGCCAGGCTCGGTGGCTCAGGCTGTAATCCTGCGCTTTGGGAGGTTGAGGTGAGTGGATTGCCTGTGCCCGCGGGTTCAAGACCCACCTGGGCAAGTGAGACTTCATCTCTACAATAGATAAAAAAATTAACTGGGTGTGGTAGCACGGACCTGTAGTTCTAGCTACTTGGAAGGCTGAGGCGGAAGGACCGCCGGAGCCCAGCAGGTCGAGGCTGTGGTGGCCAGGAGCAGCCACTGCACTCCAGTCTGGGCGACAGAGTGAGACTCCAACTCAAAAAATAAAATAAAATAAAATAATAATAATAATAATAGAAAAAAGCTTATGGAATAAGTATTTAAAGAAAGAAAATATTTTTGTACAGCCATACAATATATTTGCATCTTAAGCAAAGTGTTACAACAAAAGAGTCAAAAAGTTTTAAAAAATTAGAAGTTTCTAAAGTAAAAAAGTTACAGTAAGTTAAGCTTAATTTATTACCAGAGAAAGAAGAATTTAGTGTAGGCTAACTGTCCATTGTTTATAAAGTCCGCAGTAGTGTAGAATAGTGTCCTAGACCTTCACATTCACTCACCATTTACTCACTGACTCACCCAGAGAAGCTTCCAGTTCTGTAAGCTCCAGTTATGCTAAATACCCTATTCAGGTGTGCCATTTGTATCTTTTATGCCATATTTTTGTTGTACTTTTTCTATGTTTACTATGCACAAATACTTACCATTGTATTGCAATTGCTTAAAGTATTGAGTACAATAACATGCTTTATAGGTTTGTAGCTTAGGTACAAGAAGCTATCCCATAAAGCCTTGGTATGTAGTTGGCTATACTGTCTAGTTGTGTGTATGATGTTCACACAATGACATCACCTAAGGGCACATTTCTCAGAAAGTATCCCCATTGGTAAGTGACCTATGGTTATGTATCATTCCACTGGCTTCTGGCCACATTGTATCTGATGGGAAGTCTGTTAATTGTATTGGGGTTTCCAGATATATGGAGTGATTAGACATTTTTCTTTTGCTACTTTCAAAGTTTTCTTTGAATTTCAGCACTTTTACTGTCATATACAGCTGTGGATCTCTTTGAGCTTATCTTATTTCAAGTTAATTGAGCTTCTTGGACATATAGATTAATGTTTTTCATCGAATTTGGGAAGTTTTCAACCATATTTATTCTAAACTTTTTTTTCTGTTCTTTTCTCCTTCTCCTCTCCTTTTTTAAAGTTCCATTATGCATATGTTGGTGCACTTAATGGTGTCTCACTTTTTTTCTGAGGCTCTATTCAATTTTTTGAAATTATTTCTTCCTCTGTCCTTTTGACTATATAATCTCTATCAATCTAGCTTCAAGTTCACAAATTCTTTCTTCTGTCAGTTCAAATCTACTTTTGAGCCCCTCTACTTAGTTTTTTATTTCAGTTATCATACTTTTTAATTTCAGAATTTCTGCCTTTTAAAAAATACTGTATTGTTTTATTGGTAGGTTCTTTTAGTTCTTTAAACATATTTATAATAGTTGCTTTGAAGTCTTTGTCTTTTAAATACAACTTGGGACCCACTCACAGATAATTTTTATTGTTGTTTTTTTTTTTTCTTCTCTTTCTTTCTTTCTCTCTTTTTCCTGTAATGGGTCATACTTCTCTGTTTACATGCATGTTTCACACTTTCTTGTGAGAAACTGGATATTTCAGGAACTAGATTGTAGCAACACAGGATACTGATTCCTCTCCTTCCTTTTCAGAACTTGATTTTGTTATTTGCTTGTTTATTTGCTTAGTGACTTGGTTAGACTATTTTAGTGAAATCTATTTCTCCCATAGTATGTAGTTTCAGAGGGCATAGCCTTGAACATGCACAGTCATCCTGGGATGACAGTTTCAGCAGGAATCTCTTTGACTCTTTTTTCTTGGTTTCTCTGTGAAGCTATCTGCCTTCTTTGGTATCACACCCAACTGTTCAGCTTCATTAATTTCAGGCTGCTTGCTCTGTTGTTTTAAAAAAATGTTCTGGGGGCATAAATTGCTCTATAATCTGATCCAATTAAATTTACAGGTGTAGTTTTTTATGCCAGCCCAGGAGGGCTCTTCCCTTGTGGTTTGCTCTCACCCCAGAAGGGCTCCTCCCTTGTTTTCTCTGTTAAATTATCTGACCAACAGTTTAGCTTATTGTTTTCAGAGAGCTACCAGCCTCCTCTTAATTGCTCACCTCTAGAGTCTTGTTTTTGAGAGTGCACTTAGGATTGAATTTCCCCAACAGTTTGAAATCAAGTCAGTTCCTTTGAGAAGTGTTTTGGAACTTTCTGTTCTTATGGATAGCCTGTTTCCCTGGGTAGTCTCTGAGCCACTGCTGCAGGCACAGTTCCTAGGAGGGAGCTGGGGCTGGGTGGGGGAGTTCCCAGTATTCTCAGGTCGCCCCACCTGGGGTAGAGCTTTCCCTTTATGAGTATGGGCTGGGTGGAGAAGGGGAACCCCCAGCATCTAAGCCATACTCACCAAGAGTTTGACCTCTGCAACTCAGAGTTGGAGGAGAAGAGAGATGCTGGCGGCCTGCCCCTTCTGGCAGATGCCCTATCCCTTGACTGGGAGCTGGGAGGAGAGGGAGACCTGCCCTCCTGGCCACACCTGCCTGGAGTGGAGCCTCCATTGGGTGGGTGTGAAGACGTAGAGGGAAGGAGCAATTTTTTTTTCTTTTTGAGTCGGAGTCGCACTCTGTTGCCCAGGCTGCAGCACGCTCATGGCCACCGTAGCCTCGACCTGCTGGGCTCAGGTGATCCTTCCGCCTCAGCCTT